TCAAGATTTCTGTGCTGAAATTTAGCAAAGTAACAGAGTGCTGCCATCTAGAGCATACATTGGCTATACAGCTCTTTTGGTGCAAGAGAATCTTTTTAAGTGATTGAAATCATTTTGACTTATATTTTGATTAGCATGTTCTTCTAAAGTGTTTCTTTGAGCTTGAATTTAATGGGAAAGCTTAGGTGAGGTAGGTCCTGGAAATCAAGCGTTAGCAGCTTCTTTCCTCCCAGGCTCATAGGTTGCTCTGTGCTTTCTGCTTTGATGTCAAGCTTCCAGGACTGTTTCTGTGCACGTGAAGGCAGCTGGTTGCTAGCAGGAGCTGCGTGCTGGTAAATGCACTAGCTGTAGCAGCAGTCCTGTTACTGTGGAAGCTACGTAACCACCAGTCTGCGTAAGGCAGATACATCAAAGGACCTATAAAAGCGTGAAAGCGGGAGGGGGTATTGTTTTGCTTGCTTGTTGGTTGGTTGTTTTTCTGCTGAGTTTTTTTTGGTCTGTTTTATTTTTAATGTTTTTGTTTGCTGGAGGTGGCCGGGGCAGAGAAGTACAGCAGATGCTTGAAAGTCAAGATGTTTTTAGCACTTCCAGGTTGAGAAATACCAGGAAATACACAAGCTGGATAAGCTTGGAAGATGTGTTACAGCTTTATTGTTAGGTATTGGGAAAGTTTCCCAAAAGCTGTATTGAGGATGAAGTTATGTTTTAATTAACAGAAGTTAAGCACAAACTTTTTAAATAGTCTCATTCTCGTGTGAGTCTTCTGATGTTAGCTAAGTTTTTCTTTTAAACAGAAGAAGCTTGTTCTTTTTTTCACTTTTGAATCACCTCTAAATAAGACTTTAATACAGAACTGCTTGAGTGACAGACTCCTAGGCCTACAGCTGCATCTTCTCGTCTATTCCTCCATTACTTTAAGTGATGGAAGAGAATATTTTCCACTTCAGGACTAAGGCTGCATGCTACTGTACCAGTTTGCATTACGTACATACAGGTTATTTGAAGTAATAACGTTTTTTTGCCTCCCTCTAGTTAGAATGTGTCTTGTACTCTGAATTTAAAGAACGAAGTGCAGATCAGTCATTAGCTGGTGATCGGGAGCGGGCGTGAGGGGAAGGGGACATATTCAGTAACTTAGTTTGGACTGTTTCCAGTACCTTAATGCATTTTTACCTGGCATCCTTCTGGCCTGGATGTCTGCCTGTGACACTTGCCTTCTTGGTGGATGTTTCGATTTTTTTTTATTTTCTAGATTTTTGTTTTGTCTTGTCTTTTGACCAATGGACCGTAGTTGTGGCACAGCGAATAGCAATTGCAGCGGGATGCCCACCTTGCAGCCTGGTGCGCGCATGGCGTTTTGTTCTGGTTTCCCTTAACTCGTGGTGGTGTATGACACTTTATTTGAGCACCCAGTTCGCTCTTTATCAGGGTACAGCTTCGATGTCGTTACGCTTGGCACCGTGCTACGCCTTCCGCCTCCGCCGGAGGCTCGTGTAGGACTTCTGGTTGGAGGCCCGAGTCCTGCTGCTGCCTGTGCTGGCACGCCGTACTGGGCTGGCTTATGTTCCACCCTGCTGCCGCCCTCGGAGGAGAAAAATGTATTGAGTTTGTGGATTTGCACAAATCTTCCTGTATGGGACTGAGTGCAAGGAAGGAGGATGCAGTCAGGATGTGACTTCGCAGAAGCAAACTTACTAACAGTAGCTTTTCTTTTAATTATTTCTAGGTATTTTGTGTGTGCTAGTACAGACTGTACTGTCCTCTGAGATGTTAGCTCTTAGTGATAGTGATGAGCTGCTTTGAAAGCCCTCTTCCAGACTGAAGTAATTTCTTTTTCTTTATCTGCATATTTATTTGTTCAGTTCTTAAAATTATTTATGTAATACTCATAATTCTGACTGGAAACCTCGCACTCTGGTTCCTGGACTGATTTGGTATTGAAAACTTATTCAAGGAGATGAAACGTGCCTTGAGCACAGGCAACCCTCACGGCCTCAAAGTGATGAAATATGCTAGCTGAAGAGTAAAGCTAATGACGTGGAAGAATTCTCAGGTATACCATCACTGTGGTTGTGTTGACTATGCAGGTTTTTTTTTTTTGTTTTATGCTATTTGTAGGGTATGGATTTTTATTTTAAAATAATCAGAAGAGGAGAGTGTTATTCTCTTGTCTGGCAGGATTTTTTTTGTTAGTCTTCCACGAAACCTTTCTTAAATGGCAGTTGTTTTTTTCTGCCTCATTCAAATTAAAAAGAGTTCTGAACATGTTTCTTTTCCACAGATGAAGACGACGATGTTGATGGATCCACACAGGGGTCAGCAAAAGATGTCCAAATTTCAACAGATTCAAGTAAGCAAAATTTTACTAAGTCGTGAATATTGACCTATTCCAGTCTTTATACATATAATCTTAATTTACTTTTCCTTATGAAATAAGTAGGAAATGGATATTCTTGTAATGATAGGTGTCATTTTGGGGTCCTGAGTTTGGGTCTGTTACATATCAAGATCGTATCAACTCTTTCATCTCTATTTCCTATTGGTAGATTATTTTGGCATAAGTGTCAGTCTGCTCGTTAGCCTGACAAACAGATCATAAAGTCGGCTTTCCCCAGACTTTCTCTCTACAGGTCAGTACTACAGCGCTAAATTGCTAAAGAGCACGCTTCATAAATCACAGTTAGGCATTTCTCTGAGCATAGTAATCGAAGAAAGAAGTCGTGGTGCTAATGATCCAAAAATAAGCGATCAAGGTAATGGGTAGGCAGCATGTCTTTTCAAAGCCTTTTGCCTTTAGGATAGCTGGGTCCAAATCTTACTACAGACGCAAGGTGCATTTTTAGATTTGCTCAGGCCTGGTCCAGTAGAAGTGATATATTCCTGTGCATCAGGATTGGAGACAGCTGGCTCCTTCTTACGAGTTAGTTCTCCTGCCTGTGGAGCTTTCTGGGCTTGGTATTGGCCACTTTCTTACTTTTCTGAAGAATGAAGCCAATGTGCAATTTGAGGGCAAAACACTTCCCTAACTATATCCTTATTGGAAACTAGAAAAATATAATACTTTCTGCCTAATGTAGTTACATGAATGACGCTCAAAGCAGAAAGTGAAGAACAAAGAACATGCCTTTTTGCTTGTTTCCTTTAAGTGTAAAGTTCTTGCAAATCCAGTGTTGTATTTGTGAAAATGCTGTTCTGACTAAAAAAAAAAAAAAACGTGCCGGCTCATGCCAGTAAATAATTAACTTAGATATGGAAGCGATCTCATGTTATGTATGCTCATAATTCATTTTAAAATTTGAAGCTGGAGTCTCTTGATTGACTACAAATAAGTTATGATGGACCACTATGCTTCCTTATTATCGGGTCCAGACTCTGAGTGACTGTGGGTTATCTAAGAAACTGGCACTTTTTCCAGTGGCTGTTTTAAATGAAATACGAGGTTGAATGTCAGGACTTTTGTCCTTATCAGCTAAGGCTATTTGCTTTACTTATGACTGCCAATGAGAGCAAGATGTGTATATGGGTGTTTGAATTCAACCGGTAGAAAATACTAGTAGAGGACAGTTCAGCTTTGGACAGCCTTTCCAAGAGAAGGAAGAAAACGATGTGAAAATTCAGAACTGCAAATAAACTTGAATTTGCCTTTTGTTCTTGCACAGTGTCCGTCAGCAAACTGGAGAAAGCAGCAGTAGATGGTACACTTTCAATGTATTATTTAAAAAAAAACAAACAAAAAAAACTACTTGTGTGTTAAGTATAACAGTGATACTAAAACAGATTGCTTTCCCTTTTGGTTTTCACAAAACAGAAATCGGTGTAGAGGTCCCGTAGCTTTATGTGCTACAATTTAGAGTGCTCAATAGGTAGGAAGTGATTTTTAATGTCCCCTTAAAAGAAAGGTGGGGTGGGGGGGGAAAGACCTATAAAATGTTTAAAAGTCTTTGTTCAGTTATATTATGCATCACCAAATCTGGTAGCCCAACAGAGGTGAGGCTGCTGCAGGTCCCTGTTCCCAGGTCCAGCTAGTAGGAAGGGTGAGCGTGTGCACCCTTGGCTCCAGGGCCGCTTACCCTACATGTCCCACAAGTCCGGCTGGGTGTCTGCTAGTGGTTGCACACTGACACAAGCACCTGGTTGCTGGCACCCAGACACACGTGCCCTCTCCCATGTGGTTCCCCTCCAGCGTGTGGCACTCAGACCTCCATATGCACGTGTGCGCACAGAATGGAGAGCCCCTCACCCAGGAAAATAGTTAGAAATGGAGTTTAATGAGAAGACAGGACAGACTGTGGTGATCAGGTGCAGAGCATGACCAGATGAACATCCTGACCAGCGCTGCTTACACATGGCAGTCCCTTTCATCCCCTTATTTTGCCACGTGGTTTTCTCCCCAAACCACCTTGATCCCCACCTGTGGTCCTTTCCTTAAAAATCCTGTGATAAGTTTTGTACCATCCCCAAAAGCTCTTTTTCCTGCCTCCTATAATGAGTCCAGTACCCCCTGTGCAGTAATCCACCATCAATCTTTAAGTTGCTCCTGTTGACCCGTGGTGACAGGTGTCAGCCCCGGACCACGAGGCTGATGGCTGTCTGTGCCCCTTTGTGTTTGGGAGCGGGGGGGCAGGGGGGATATAACCTAACAAATTAAACGTGATAGGGGCATAGTCCCAGCATGTTGGACCTCTTGTATCTATTTCTAGATAATACCATTTAGTAATGTGGGTGAAAAACGAGCTATTCATTAACTTTTGTATGTTGACTTGGAATATTTGCCACATCTTTTAGGATGTTACCACACTTTCCTTCAAGAGTGCCTGAACTGAATTATATTCCAGAAGGTTGTAGCTTTTCTTATTTACAGCTCTCTGTGTATTACAGATGTGTCTCTTTTAAAAACAGTGAAAATAACGCAGAATAAATTGAATAACCTTGGCTTGTAAGGAGATGCCATTAGTTTAAGGGAGAAATAAATAGTGTGTGGAAGGTCTGTAGATTAATACTAGAAGAAAGTTTAAATTAGCATCTTGTGTTCTTTTTTGTTCCCTTGCTCTTTAGTATGATCGTTGCATGAAATGGAAAGTTAGATTAAAACCTTAGGCTTAGCAGCTTAAATATGTTTTGCAAGTCAAACGTGAAACTTAGCCTAACAAGATACTGAGGCCAAAAGTATAAAGTGACCTTAAAAACAACGCTACACTTTTTTTCTAAGATGATTGATTTAACAGATGTACAGATCTGCTGAAAAAAAATTATGAGCGAGTTTGGAAAAGGATTGTGAATCCTCATGCTTGGGAACGTGAGCCAGCTTCTAAGTGTTTGTCTACGCAGAGAATAATTAACTTCAGGAGAACTGAACATTATGGGAGTAGTAGGATAAACACTGTGTGCATGCCTTTAGCCTTTATTACAGGGTAGTTAGTTGTCTTGCTTGGGGAAAGGATTAAGCCCCGAAGCCACTTTCATACTAACGTAACTGTGTCTCAGTCATACTGGGAATGCATAAATGGTAGAACCGTTCTATACTGACAAACTTCACGTAGGAGTTGGGGGGAATAAGGCAGGGGATTAGAAGTGCTCTGTAGGTCCAGCTTCTGGAGCTCCTTCGGAAGCGTTTGTCGTTCCTGAGGTGGGGTGTTGAACTAGATTTCAACTAACGCAGCTATTCCTGTTTTCTTGGAGGCAGAACTCATTGTTCTCAGCTAAGACACAGCCACAGACGTATTCTATCGAGCCCGAGAAGTCAAAGGCAAAATTTTAAGAGTTATTCCTATTATTTCATTGTAATATGAAGACTTACTGTGCAAAAAGAAGTTGGTTTGTTGTCTACATGCAACAAATGAATCCCAGGTGACCTATCCCAGTAGCTCTCGAAATGAGAAATGAGTCATTAAGAGCTCTTACCTGTGTGTGAATATGAAGAGAGCCGGGAGTATGAAAATACATTAGATTCTGTCTCTAACTGCTTACCGGGAATCAATAAAAACTGAAGGCCTTTAACTGCTTGTATAGTCAGGCCTGGATAGCTTTCATTTGTTTTAAGGTTTGTCCACCATTGGTAGCACTTCAGAGATGTTGCTTTTCCACATCCTCGACTTCTTTTCCTCACAAAAGCTTAATTTTCAGAGGTATTTATTCTTCAAGAGATACTCCTTTGCAAGTTCCATTACCATATATAGGTCATGCTAAAAACTATTTTTTGCCCAAGGACAGTTTCAGTATCCCATCTTTTGAAAAATAACGTTGTATAGGGTTGTGTTGAATGAACTAGTAGGCACTTCAGTGCTGGAAAAGTTTGTGTATTTCCTTTTCTTGGCTGAATTGCCTGTGACTGCTGCAGAAAAGAAAAATAAAGTGCTCTGAAAAATCACGTGCTACTTTTCTTTTGTTTCACTTTCCCCCTGTTGTGCATATCTTCTTTTCTCCTCCTTCCTCCAACCCTTTTTGTCTGCCTTTTCTGAAACTTGATATAGTACACTATTATTCTCACTTCTCACTGTTCTGTTTTGTACTTTTTTTTTCTCCTAGACTTTCCATTCCAAACAGTTCTCCTAATTCCCCTCCCTCCCCAGGAACAACAGTTGCTCGCCTAGTGTTGCTGCCTATTTGCTTTGGTTCCCTTTCCGTCTGCTTGTCCTTCTTTTGTTCACTGAATCCCTTTTCCCCACATCCTTGATGTCTTACACACACCGGTTGTCAAAGCATCTGCTGCTCAATATGCCTATTTCAGGGAAGTCGAACACCTTTTTAAATTTTTATTTTATTTTTATTGCTTCCTAAAGATTTAAAGAGGTCTTCTGGCAAATGTCTTCAAACAAAAGAAGAAAGATAGAGAAATCTTCCTATAGTTCTGTAGCATCGCTGTCAGAAGGTCCTGGAGAGGTGTTAGGTAATATTATTAGTTAATGCTATTTTATTCCCGTGCCTCAAGGGTCCTTATGGTGAGGTCCTATTTTATTTTATTTATTTTAAAAATTAAACGTGGAATTTTAAGAGTGCCTGGAATTGATGTGTGGTTTCTGCTTTTGGGCTTGTTTCTCTGACTTCATTCTCACCACTTAACATCTTGCTAGTCTTGATGCTTAGATATAGTTTCTCCCTGGCCACCCACTGGAGAAGTGTATAAAAACATTTCAGGAGATCTCTTGTGGGCTTGACAGACCTTCTGGCTATGTGTTGTCGGTGCACAGAGATGCAGTTCAGTTGGCAGACAGGAGAGTGTGAAGAGAGAAGGGCATGCCTCTGACCCGGGAGTGTCTCCACTGCGTGGGTGTCTCCTGGCACCTGCCCGTGAACCATCTGCTTCGCCATGTGCCAGTCTTCCACAGGAGAGGACAAGGGAGACAGCTGCAC